AGATTCACCCCTCGCTGGGGTCGTTTGACCCCAGTACTTTTTCCTGCCATGGCAGGGGGTCGGACTTGATGATCTGGTTAGGTCCCTTCCGACCCTACCAACTATGAAACTATGAAACTATGATTGGGCTTGAAGGAGGAAATACTGAGAGGGTGGAGGAAGAGAGAGCGGGTCTTTCCTATATTTCCTCCTTCACAGAGGCATTGTGGGAGGGGTCGTTTTCTCGCCAAAAACTGCTGGCTGAGTGGGTCTGCTGTGACCAAAGAGGCCTGAACTTGGCAGCAGCACCCCCATACATGGGATGAAGAAATGGGGAGTGGATGGAGGGATTATTTATTGGAGGAAGCTGAAGTGAAAATGTGAGGGGAGGGAGGCTGGGCTTGAGGGATTTTTGTCATGTCCAGCATCATACCACTACAGCTCCCTAAACCTCCTCTCTGTCCCTCAAACCCCACACCTTTTGCCTCTGTACCCCTTCTCCCTCACTGCCTTCCTCACCCCACCATGTTCCCCTTTCTCCTTCAGAGTGGTCCCCTCACAACCCATGTGGCCATGTGCCAGAGGGCAGCCTGGCACCAGCTTGAGTGGAAACAGTGGGATTCAGCGGCCACCTTTACAAGGGGCTGCCCAGAGAAAAGAATACAGAGAGGAGCAAGGGAGCCTTCACTAACTGTGGCTGGGAGGAACCAGACTGAAGAAGGAGGAAGGGATTTGGGGGCAAACACTGCAAAGGACTGGACTTGAATAGGGGTAGGCCAAGAAGAGAGTTTGAAGGGACATAGGCTGCCCCAGTCCACCTTGGAGAGACCAGGCCAGGAGGGCAGGAGAGTATCCCACTAAAACCCCTGCTGAGCATGGGGAGCATTGTGGGGGTTGTGGAGCCATGGAGAGGGGACTCCATACCCTCTAATGTCGGTGATATTTACAGGGTTGATTCACTCAGAAACATGCAGGGGGAAGCCCACTTTCCTGGGGGAACTGTTGTTGCACCCCAAAACCTGGCCACAGTCCAGCCTGTAGCCACTCTCAGCCAGTCTTTCCCTTCAGCTCTTAATCCCTCAGATGCCCACTGGTTTCATCTTCCTTTTATATTTCACTTTGCTCTCCAACAAGCAGGAAAGGAATGGGGTCAGATGTCAGGGACTTGGAAAGAGGGGAGCAACAGGTATGGCAAGAGCTATGCATCCCAAGGTGTGGAAGCAGTCTAGGAGTGTGTCTTCAGGGCCAGGGTGCCATCACAATGCCATTCCACCATTTCCAGGGTGGGTTTCCAATTTATTCACATGCCCAGAAACCCTAGCACAGTTGGAAGGTGGGGTCTCTTTTCTTCAAATCTCACTGCACTTGTAAGAACAAGGTCTGTAAATATTTCCCAACACTCTCCTGATGCTCTGCTCAGGACCTTGTTTAATTTCACAGACTGTTTTTCACATGTGGACACCAGAACTAGTTACATCAAGTTCAATTTTGCCAGCCTGGTGGGATATAAAAATTCAGCATTAGACCCTTAGATACAAATCTCAAGAGGAGTTTAGAAATCAAGAACTGGTTAAAATGAAGGTGTAAGTCCCAGAGCTAAAGGCCCTAGCAGAGTGCCTCTTGTGACTCCCTAGCTATCTCCTCTCCCTGCAGGGTGGGGCTGGCAGATCATTGTCAGCATGGGTTTGTGCACAGTGGTAAGGGCCTACAGGAAACTGCATGATGGCATATGATTTCCTGGACGTTGCAGAGATGTTTTTGGATATTGCCTGGAGATTAGATGTACTCACGGAGTGATAAAGACATTGCTGGTTCCAAGAAGTGCCTCCACAGCCATACTCCTTTGTGGTGCCCTAGGGTATCACACTCAGTGGAGCTGTGGACCAAGGAGGCAGTGACAGCCCCTCACTGCCCTCGATATGTTGTCTGCTATCACCAACCTCCTCCTTGGTGAGTATGGGAGAAGGCCATGACATGCGTCCATGGGGATTTGACACCAGGGCATGTGTCCATGGGGGTTTTGAGATTAGAATATACACCCATGGGGGAATCTAAGACCGGGGTGTTGCCTGTGGTTTGAAATGAGGATGCTTACTGTGTGGAGGGAGGTTGAAGATGTGAGGCCAGGGTATGTGATCTCATTGCTGGAGGGCTGTTCTAGGCAGTGCAGGGCTCAGACTTCGTAGTCGCCTGCAGGAGCCCCTGAATTGTGTTCTCATACCTCTTAGAACAGTATCCATGCAGCACCACCAGGCAACTGGGGATTCAGAAGGGAAAGGGAATATTTTCTCTTAGTCTGGTCGCTAACAAGCTGTCTTTTTTCCAGGATGCTGGGTGGCCAAGGAAAGTGGAGTGTTTAGAGGTAAATTACAGCAGGATGGAAGCACTGGGGAGGGCAGTCTCTGGGAAGGGCACATGGACAGGTACAGGGGCAGGAAAAAGTTCACCCAAATCTTGAATCTTAACCCATGGACTGACCCCACAGGAGCTGAGATCAGGATCTGGTGCCTGGATTCCCTGTAGTCCCAGGGATCTTTTTTTCCTTCTTTCTCAATGTTTATCCAGATGTGGATTTAATTTACCTTGACTTTAGCAAGGCTTTTGACACTGTCTCTCACAAAATGCTCATTGACAAGCTAAGGAACTACAGACAAGATGAAAGTTCTGTAAGGTGGATACATGACTTGTTGGAGTATTGTGCTTAATGACTAGTCACCAATGGCTTAATGTCTAGCTGGGAGGACGTATCAAGTGGGGCTCCTCAGGGGTCTGTCTTGGGTCTGCTATTGTTTAATATTTTTATTAATGATTTGGATGATGGGATTCAGTGCACATCTAGTGAATCTGTGCATGACCCTAGGTGGGTGGAGTTGCAGATACTCTGGAGAGTTGGGCTAGGATCCAGAATGAATAGACTAGATACATGGTTCACAACCAGTCAGGTGAGATTCAGCAAGGATAAGTGCAAATTCCTGCACTGGGAATGGAATAATTGCATTCATAAATATAGACTGGGGAATGACTGGTTAGGCTGCAGTACTGCAGAGAAGGACTTGGGGCTTACAATGGATCATAACTGAATGTGAGCCAATAGTATAGTCAAAAAGCCAACAGTGTACTGGGTTGTATTAACAGGAGTGTCACTTCTAAATCAAGGGAAGTGACTCTTCTGCTTTGTTCAGCACTGGTGAAGCCTCACTTGGAGTACTGTGCCAAGTTTTGGGCCCCACACTTCAAGAAGGATGTGGATAATTTGAGAAAGAATCTAGCACAGAGTAACAAAAATGATTAGGGGCAAGGGAGGCAAGACTTATGAAGAAAGGCTGGAACTCAGTTATTTAGTCTGGAAAAGAGAAGACTGAGGGGGGGATTTGATAACAGTCTTCAAATACCTGAAGGGCAATGACAGAAAGGAGGGAGATGGGCTTTTCTTTGTGGCTGAAGGGACCAGGACTAGGAGCAATGGCTTCAAGCTGCAGCAGGGGAAATTTAAGATGGAGATTAGGAGGAATTTTCTGATTATCAGGGTAGTCAAGAATTGAGACAGACTGCCTAGGGAAACCATGGAATCTCCATCTTTGGAAGTTTTCCAGAGGCACATGGCTAGGATGGTTCAGTCAGGGATGATATTACCTTGAGCAGGGGGCTGAGCTACATGACCTTGTGCAGTCCCCTCCATCCCCATTCTCTTATGATCCTATTATCTGGGAGCTAAGGAATGGGTTAACAGTTAAATGGAGCTAGGCCCATGTCTCCCCCATCTAACTTCTGTTTCTTTGTGATGCAGAGCTCCCGGCACCCAAAATCTCCATCTCTGTGAACCCCAGCAAGGTGATAACTCTGGGAGGAAATGCCACCATCCGGTGTGAATGTCAGTGTGCAAGAAAAAAGTTAATTCTTTGTAAGAATGATATCCCACTCCGGGAGCTGTGGTTTATGAATAAGAATGAATTCAACATCGGCAATGCTGACCTGGGGGACGGAGGGGACTATAGCTGTCAATATTGGCCTAAAACTAAACAAGGAACCCTGGTGAAAAGTGAGCACTTGAAGATCTTTGTGGCAGGTGAGGCATTCCCACTCCCAGCCTCACATCAGCCAAGCCCACAGGGTCCTTGCACTGATGGGCTGATGCTCAGAGCCAGGCTTTTTCCTGAGCCCTGGGACACAGAAGAGGACCTGTGCAGCTGAGGGGCAGGGATGGAGTTAGTGGTGGGGTTCTCCAGCCAGAGGAGAGCAGCAACCCCTGTAGAGTTTCCAGCACAAAACAGAGGAACTCCCTGAGTACAGCCCGGTTCTGGTGGTCAGAGACTAGAGCAGGACCAGGCACCTTGATTCACATCCTGATTCCAGCACAGACTATAGGAGCGACCTTGGGCAAGTCATATAACCATGTTGTGCATCAGTTTCCCTATCTGTGCGACTGACTCCAAGCCCCCTGTGTGCTAATCAGCCAGACCCCAAATCCCACCAGAGGCCAGACATGGACCAGGAGTGTTGAGTTGCTCTTCCCTGCTATGTCCCACTACACCTCTAGTTTCCCTACTCCTGAGCTGTGCTGAGACTTCAGGTTCTGCTGTACACATATAACACAGCCCTGCCCCACTGGCCAGCCTGTGTGAGGTTTTGTATACCTGCCCTTGGAGCAGCAACTCCTGGCCCCTTTGTGGACAGGTCAGTGGGCTGGGTGGGTCTATGGACCTGACCTGGAGCAGGTGAAAAAGGGTGCCACCAGACTAGATGGACCCATGGGTCTGATCCCTAGTCATAGGGCTAGACTGATGCTGGACTAGCTAGCCCCATTTGGTGCATGAAGTGTTCCTATGGCAGTAGGTATGAATGCTCCATTTTTGGGGGATGGGTCAGTTTTGGGCTAAGCTCAAGGGAAGCTCGAGGCCCTTGGGAAAAGTATGTGGAAACATTTTTCCTTTGGCCCCTCTCTCTGTTCTGCAACTGACACCCAACTTGTTGGGGGAGAAGTGGGTTGGGGCAGAGGGTGGGGGGGCTGAGGTCTGTGTCTCACTGCTTATCTGCTTCCCACTGCAGACCCCAGGTACCCGATACCCAGCATCAATTTGAGTCCAAAAAGGAAGCTCACCATAGGGGAAAACGTGACCATCCAGTGCCTGGGTGGGTCCCAGGATGTGGAGTTTTTCCTCTACAAGGATGGAAACATGACCCTGCTTCAACCCATGGCGTCAGCTGGGAACATGACTGAGCTGTTTATCAGGAGCGTGCAGCAAGCAGATGGAGGGAGATACCAGTGCTTTTATCAAAAGAAATCAGAACCATTTGTCTGTTCATATCACAGTTATCCCATGCAGCTGGTGGTGATAGGTGAGGGGCTCTGTGTTCCTATCCCCAGCTTCACCCACAGCTGGGCCCTCAAGGGATGTCCATGCTGATGGGAAGAGGCTCAGAACCAGGCTCTGGAGCCCAGCAGCGGGGCCGTGTTACTGAGGACTTGGGTTTAAGTCATGGCTGGAGTTGGGTATTTCCTATCCAGATGGTGCAGGAGCTCCTATAGCTCCAGAGCAGAGCCTGGGTGTGGTCCAGAGCAGGGCTTTCTCAGGGGCATGGTCATGGGGCTGCTCTAGGGATGCAGTCAGTTCTCAGGGGCTGCTGAGCTAGGATCTCCCTCAGACTTACTGGTGACAATATATGTGGAGTCATGGAGGGGCTCAATCACCAAGTCAGCATTTCAATCCCTTCACTCTGCTTGCTGGCTGTGGGGGATACTGGGGCTCCTTGGGCCTTTTGCTATTGGCCTGGAGCTAAGGCCTTTTACTATCCCATAAAGATAAAGATGAATGAATGAATGAGCGCCTGGACAGAGAGAGATGGGGCTGGAAGCCTGTGGGAGGACACAAGTCAGGGAGAGTTGGGAGTGCTTGTTGACTGCAGAAAGACTGAGGGAGGCTCAGACTAGAGGGGACCATTGTTCTCCCAGTCTGACTGCTTGTTAACAGCCATAAAATGTCTCCTAGGTCCAGATGTGGCCTGGTCTATATGGAAACTGGGACTGAAATCACCATGTTGGGTACAAGTCACTTTGTAGGTGTCTGGGTGCTGATCTGTGTGTGGACATGAGGAGTTCAGGATGGAAGCACTTGCCTTTGAGCCCTGTAAATATGGTGACAAAGAGCATCCAGCTATTTAGAAATCAGACATTTTATTTGGAATTGGAGCCTTCTTTCCTGTCTAAACTTACTTTGAAATGACCCTGTGCATAGATATCCCCACACTTCATGGGTCTCTTCCCTATTTCCCAGCAGGGAGAGCTGGACACACAGTCTGTGTCTGCAGGACTGGGTTGCATAGGCAGCCTGTGGCCCTGGGGGCACTGAGCCAGACATGGGTCACTGGGTTGTGTCCTGTTCCTAGGGAGGCAGGTTGGAAGCCCCTATGGGCCTGACCATGCTCATTCCCCCTCACAGCCCCATGGAAGCAGTTGCTGAGTGATTATCTCCTTTCTACTCTGTTACTCCCAGATTACACCAACGGTAACATCTTCCGACTGACCCTGAGCGTTTTGATCCTGCTTTTCCTGGTACTGATCATAGCTGAGGCCGTGTACAGCTGGTAGAGGGGAGGGCTGTATCCAAGCTCACATCTGTCTATAAGCACCTACTCACCCAGACCCTGCTACACCCTGATGGAGCCAGCGCTTGGGAAGGGCAACGGAGTCACCATAAGCCGTAGCACTGTGACACCAAGTTGTAAGGCAGAGCCAGAAAAACTAGTGAACCGAGCCTGTCTGACCACATCCCTCACTGGCCTCCAGATATCCGCTGGGGGCTGTGATGGCACAGGGATGGCGAAGACCTTTGTGAATGGGTTACACCAATGGAAGCTGTGTGCCATTAGGATGCCCTGTGGGGAGAGATCTGAGTGCCCCCATGGGGGCTCAGACTTCAAGGACATGGGGCACCCTGGGTGCTGCACTCCAGCACAGGTTCTGACCTGCCCCTGTGCCCTCTGGAAAAGCGTCGGTACAGCCAGACCACAGAAGACATGGGAATGTAGTGCAGCAGTCTGAAGGCTCTTAGGGATCATTCATGCTGCCTCCAGCACAGACCACAGCACCACCTGTTCTAACGTCCATTCCTGGCCTGGCTCCCTCCACAGCTTCTGCCCCCATGGGCTGCACTCAGCCACAGTAGCAGAGTGCAGCCACACTGCCAGCTCTCCCAATTCCCCCAGTCTCATGAGATCCATTGCTTCTAGTAAAGACCCAAATCTTGGAGTCCTGAGAGTCCAGGAAAACTTTGGCTCTGGTTTCAAATACAGATTCTGTTTTAAGTCCACATGGCTGAGAAGAAACCTCCCCAAAGGTTTCCTCCCCTTCCCTCAAAGGACTATGAGAGCAGGCAGGGAAATATATAATAAAAATCACAGGAATTAGAGTTCAGTCTCATGATTTTTGATGGCTCCAGAATTGCAGCACTGTAGGGGGAGGATATGATCATGAGGAAAGCACTGGGGTTGGGCTCAGGACTCTGGGATTCACTGTCTGGCTCAGCAACAGTCTTGCTGTGTGACTCTGGGCAAGACTTTTCATTTCTCTGGGTCTCTATTTCCTCTGTGTGCAATGGGGAGAAGAGCCCCTCCTCAATGTGTTCAGGTTGGGAGTACCTCGGAGCAGGTGCTCTGTCTGTGCATGCAGCAAGTTCTAGTCTGTATTTCCCAGCTGCTGCTTCTCATGCCATGGAAGAGATGTTGCTTCCCCACCAAGAGCCCCTTGGCAGGACTCTCTCCCCAGAGGCTGGCCATGCTTCTTCCAGGCAGCAGGATGTCCTCTCTGGAGGATGACATACATGAGTGGAAGGAGCCTCCAGGGCGCTTGGTGTGCCTGTCACTTTAAGAGGCTCTATGAGGAGCAGCCTGCAGATGTGGCAGGGGCTAATTAGAGTCACCTGATTAGAGTGACTTGAAGCATATAAGCCTGTGGCCTGAGCTAATCATGCAGTCTAGCTCTGAAAGCCATGGAGAGAGGAGCTTGTGGGCATCAGGGCTCTTGGGTAATATCTGAGCTGGGGTAAGCAACTCTGGAGCTTTGAAGAAAGAGCTAAGGGGAGGAGGAGCTCCCAGTAGACCTGGGAACTGGGTCTGGAAGGACAAAGAGGCCTGGGAGGTAGGGCTAGCAAGCCTGGAGAGGGGTGGGAGAGAGTAGAGGGCTGGGAAGCAAGGAGGGCTAGCATAGGCAACATGTAGGGGGTGCATGTGTACCTCCTGAGAGCACTGGTGCCCCCTGACAGTGAATGCTCTCAGCTTAGGCAATGGGCAGGGGGGGCAGAGAGAACACTGGGCAACTCCCTGAGAAGTGTCACCGGTAATTCCAAGCTTGGCATCTGGCCATGGGGGACCCCTGGTCAGCAATCGGCTGCGGGGAGTGCTCCTCCCCCCCCGGGACGCTGCCTGCAGTTGGACCTTGCTCGGCTTGCCTTCACCGGGGTGTTAGTGTGGCTGCCTGTGGGTGATCCCTGCTTGCTGCTGCCATGCCCCTGCTGTCGCCACTGCAGCTACTGCCTACAGGTGGTCACCATACACTGCACGCCCCCCCAGCCTCAGGAGGCATCGCCTATGAGGGCCAGGGTGCTCATGATCTCAAGTGGCCTGGGAGTGGAGCTAGGCTTTAAGGAGACTGAAGGTTGGGGACCATTGCTGGTGAGCAAGGGGGGTTAGCAGACCTGTGCCTGGAAAGGGGTGTAGATGAGGCGAAGGAGCCCAGAGATTAGGGGCAGGGGCCTTAATCCTGGTATGGGTGGAGATAGGAGCCTGAGAGGGCAGGATGTGGTGCCCAGGAGAAGCCCTCAGAGGTGGAATGAGGAGGAGCCCTCTGGATGGGGAGTGAGGGCTGGAATGCTGTGCTCGGGAGTAGCTGGGGGAGGTCAAGTGCCCTGGGGGAGAAGGCAGGCCAGGGACTTGCACTTGGGAATAGCTGAGCTAGTTGAAGTGGCTGGGCAGGGAGGCCTGCTCACAGGGACTGAGGCCATGGCCCAAGGGGGCTGATGATGGATAACATCTGTGATGCCTAGGCAGGGTGGTATCAGGGATGTTTGGAGCCATGTTAGAAGCCCTTGAGGCAAAGTAGAGACACCTAAATACCAATGTGGGATTGGGGATCCCTGGGGCAGCCTCTTCAAAAGATCTAACAACAACAAGTTGTGGCAGGGGAGGGGGAAGCAAACCAGAAGACTGAGGACAGAGCAAGGGGCTGAGCAGCCACCAGGGTGAGCTGTGGGCTACACCTGGAATGAGTGCTGGTTAATGGCCATCTAGCCCAGACCCCTGTAATGGCCTCCTTGGCCGTCTAGCCCCCAGGGACATTTGTCCCTGTTCCCCTCACCACAGTGCAGTCATTCTGGGTGTCCATAGCTGGGGACAGGGGATACCTTGTTTCTTGGGATGCAGAAGGTGTGACCTAGGGGTAGATGCATGAACTCCTGTGCCAGCTCTGTGTCCCCATCCCTCAAGTCTTGGAATATGGAGAGCTCCCCAGCTGCTCCTGAATTGAGGGTGCTGCCTGCATCTACGGGGAGACCGGAGCCTGTGAGGATCCAGGTTCTGCACAGAAACTCCCTCAGTAAGTAACCACTTCCCTGCACATTCCTACCTCCCCCCTACCCCACACCCTGTATCCAGCCTCCTGTGCACATGAACAGAGCTTCCACCCCTTGGAAAGAAAGTAATGGCACTGCTTGCCCTCACTGTCCCCCAATTCCCCCACAATCCTCCAGAACATCCCAGCAGCCCCACATCTTCTCCTGTATCCCCACACACTTCCCTCTAACCTCACAGCATGTCCTCTGAGCCAACCAGGCTTTTCCACCCCCACTCTCATGGCCTCCCATCCATCATGTCCCAGGGTTGGAAGATCCTGTAGTTCCTCAGCTTCTCCCACCAGAGAGGCAGACCTTGGGCTGGGCATGTTTTAGGGCCCCAACGAGTCTGAATGTGGAACTGAGCTATGGTTGCAGCTGCAGGCTGACATGGCAACCTCAGCGTGTTTCTTCATAGTGGAGATAACAGTTTCTCAGTAATCTTCTGATCTATTGTGGTCAGAAAAAATTCAGGCCTTTGCACGCTCCAGCAAACTGCATTTCCTTTCAAAGCTGCTTCCTACCCCCACAGCTGTATGCCAGAGTGAGAGAAGGAAGGGTACTCCCAGTCCCATATTCAAGTTGTCCATTGACACCTTCAGAGATGTTAACTGGGAATGTGTCCCAGCCTGACCTCTTCCCACAGACCCACTGCCTGTAGGATCCCTGCCTACTTGGAGTACTAGATGAGCCCAGGGAAAGGCATCAGTCCCCCTTAAGACCCTGGATTGGATGGTGGCTTTCCATGTGCTAGAAGGAATTTATTTTTCTTATGCAGCTCTTGCCCTGGAGCATGAGGGTCAAGTGGCTTAGGAAAGTGTATTCTCAGGTAGTGACACCAGAGAGATTATCTAGCTGCTGGCTAAGAAATATGAGACTCAGAGTTGGAGGGATGATTAGAAACAGGGTGAAAATGTAAAAGTGGAAGGGAGGGATTTTATCTGATGCCTGGCTCTTTATCTGGGCACAGACCATAATTCCTTTGCCTCTGGGAGAAGATCCCTATCTAGTAGGCTAAAGCAGAGGGCAGGGAGTCAGGATTCATGACTTCTGGGCCATCTCCTAAAGAGGAGTAGCTTTTCAAGTTGGAGCAGAAGGAAGGGTTCAGAGCAGAGCCAGAACTCCCACAGCATCATCACCTCATTGCTAATTACCCATCCTGTTCCCTGGGGAGCAGGTTTCACAACTTGGATGTGAGACCTCCATGTTCCCATCCTGCCGCCCCCTCCTTCCCTTGTCCTTTGCCCTATTCTTTCCATTCACGCTCGCATCCTCCTCCTTGCCCAACTTGTGCCCAAAGTCTGTCTATCTTTCCTCCTCTCCCCCAGTAGTCTCTAGCCTTTGGCTGCCCTTTGCTCCCATGGCATCTCCTTACCCTCGCATCTTGAGCAGGTGTCTTCCCCTGCCAAAGGATAGTGCTGCTTTCATTTTGGTAGGAAACAATCCTCTACCCCAGACACTCTGAGAAGGCATCAACAGAACAGGCTGCTCTGCCCTGGATCCTGTTTAGTTGCTCAGCCTACTTTTCAGGGATGGACTCTAGAACTCCAGCAGCAAATTCAGCTTTACACCATCCAGGAGACTAGATATCAGGCATTAGACCCTCCTTATAGACATCAGAGCCCATATAGCAACAAGATGCATTAGCAACACCCTCCCCTGACGAGTGTAACCCATATAGTGACATTGCTCAAGTCTGCCCAAGCCCTGAGCCTACTTCTTGGACAGAAATGACTGGCCCAAAGACAACAGACGCAGCAAAGCCTGCCTGAGTGTGTAGATCCTAAGCCAAACACTGTGAAAGGTATTAAGTTTCTGGAGTGCAGTTGACACACGACTGTTCTTGCTGGTGGACAGGAAGCCTGAGTCAACAGCTCAGAGGTGTGCATCTCACTGCATGACCCCTATAGCTATACAACAGAGCTAGTCCTGACAACCCACAAGCCACCCTCCTCCCATACTGAGTAGTTCAGGTTGGGGTTGAGGGCTCCCTGCCAGACTTGTGTGGTACCCACAAAGGTGCAGGGCTAGCATTAGCAATGTAAAGAGAAGTGCTTGCTGGGCCTTGCAAGGACCTTGGTAGATGTTGTCTGGAGATGACAAAACCTCTGGTGCCTAGAAACTCCTCCCCAGCCTCACTTCTGCTTTTGGGGATCATTGGGACATCGGGCTCAGTGGAGTGAGTGTAAGGGACCCCACGTTCTTCTCAGCATGTTATCTGCAGTCACTGTCCTCCTTCTTGGTAAGTATTGGTGATAACCAGGGTGTGTAGCCATGGGGATATCCGAGACCAGGATGTGTACACGTGGTGGGGATCTGAGATGAAGGTGTGTACCCAGGAAGGGATGCGAGATCAAGGCATGTGGCCAGAGGGCATATGAAATGAAGAGCATTACCCTGAGAAAACAAGGGGAAGGTCTGAGACCAGGGTATGGGATCCCTTTGTTTGAGGGCTGGTTCAGACAGTGGTGGGTCAGACCCATACTCCCCAGACAGGAACCCCTGAATCAGGTTCTCTTCCCAATGAGAACAAGATCCACTTGGCAGCATCTGGGGACTTGGAAGGGAAAGTGAATCATTTGCTCTGAGCTCTAGTCACTGTAGCAGAAAGCCCCCTTTTCCTCTTGCCTGCATTTGCTCTCCCCTCTTTGAATATGTTTTTCCTCTTCTACCTTTTCTTCCTTCCTCTTTCTTTCACTTTAAGATAAGGAATTGTGTTTTAAAATTTGTATGTGTGCATTTTGTATCTCCCCTTGTATTTTGGTATTTTTATCTATTTGTGTGCCATGGCAT